AGGAGGGGGGTAATTAGTCATCTCGTGGTGTTTGTACATATTATATTCTTCACTATTTGTTTAATAGTACTATATTACACTGATTATTGTTATTAGTATTTGACGTGCGCGGTACTACTGGATACAGAGTCAAAGGGATCCAGGATAATCAAAACACATCTGGCGGCTCACAAACAAAGCTGTATGAGAACATTCTTTAAACTGATTCAGACGCACTTTAGCAACCCAGAACAAAAAGTACATGCGAGTCGATATCTTCGCGACCAGCTTATGTGGAATGGCTACCCGAAGACGTGTTCGCTCCCCTCCCCCACAGAATACAACCATAAAACACCACCCAAGATATGACATGTTCGGCCATGCACAAAGGACGTTTCAGAAGCAATCAAGTGCATGGTTACGGGACTAGGTGTTGCAATTGCCCATCCACCCAAAGCTACAATACGCAACAGGGCCATGAAGATTAAGTAGCGATTAGTTCTAAGAGAGCATCTGGTTGGACTGTACCATATCCCATGGCTAAAAAGACTAAATGTATGCTCGGATCGCGCATACACGAGCATACCCTAGCTGTGCGACGGGGAAAAGGAGTATGAAAAGTAGATGCACACACCTTGGAAGCGGGTCATGAGTCTAAACTTGCAACCACCAAGACAGTCATCGAGGCTGGAATCAACACAAGCCCAGAATTAATTGAAGTCTGGCCCTCGGATGAGAACTCAGTCAATCGCAGCACCTATCTGACACCCGCATACAGGGCCCTGCGCGACCACCTTCGGAACTGCGCCACTTTTTGTTGACTGGCCAAAAGCCCCTAGGCTTGTCACTTGTTCTGTTGCTACTGTTATCTCTGATGATGTACTGCTGTGCAAGTTCGAGAGCTCGAAAAAGTAAACAAAGACGTCCGGTACTCGAGCGATCACCTTCTTCCCTTCTCAGGCATGTACGGCTGCGCTGTGAACAGTCGGCGGCGTTTGTATATTTTTACAGAAAAAAAGTATCTATTTTTTGCTTTTGATATTTCGCATTATCTCACCGGTTTTCCTTAGTTTTTTTGAGTAAACTGGCACTGGAAATAGTTGCTACCGTTTTGCGCGCAGA